GGGTGTGGGTGGTGGGGTGGGGAGGGGAGGGTGAGAGCAAAGGGAATGGAGAGAGGAAAGGAGATAGAGAGACGGAGAGAGTGAGGAAAAGGAAAAACAGCAAGGGAAGACATTAACTATTGAACTTCCAGATTTCTTTCAGGCTGTGTTGAGAAACAGTGCGGCAGAGTACCTGCGGGCTGAGTACAGGTTGTGTGCTTAAGTAGTCTTCACTAAAGATGATCCTGATAATTAGACAGGCATTCTTTTATTCCAGTGCTTACCTTACCTTTTTTTTTTTTTTTTTTTTTACTAGTAAACACGTGTGTGTCAGTGCGTGTGTGTGTGTTCATATGTGTGTGACAAGCAAAAAATAAATAAATAAAAAGTGCATCTGAGATGTGCATGCGTGTGTGTAGGTGAGGGCGAGTGCGACAAACACTGCGTGGACACATGCCAGTTGTGACTGTAAGACTGAGGACCGTGCATAAACATTTCCTACTAAATAACAGGAAAGGGCAAACCTTGAAAACCTTGATCAATCATCAGCAGCTGGGAGTGCTGCGAGAATGAGAAAGATAGAGAGAAAGGGGAGTGGAGGAGGTGTGGGGTGGGGGTGTGGGTGTGGGGGGGAAGATAGGGAATGAGAGTGAGTGCGAGGGGAAGGGGGGGGGAGAGAGAGAGAAAGAGATTGAGTGAGGGTGTGAGTGAGGGGGGGAGAGATAGCAGGAAGTCGAGGGAGAGAATGGGAGAGAAAATAGAAGGAGAGCAAGGGAAGAAACAAAGAGATAAGAGGCTGAAAGACAAAGAAACCACATGGAAGAAACAACAAGGGACACGTACATAAAACAACACAGAACTAGCCTATGGGGAAAATGAAAAAGACACAGACAACAAAAGTTTGTGGAAGAAACACACTGGCTCCTTTCCAGGCCCAAATCTTCATAACAGCAAATAAATAAATAAAACCTCGCTCGCTTGTCCATTTACTTAGGGTTAAATTGCATGCGTATGTCCACGGAAAACTAATAGTGGAAAAGGCTGTGGTGATAATAAGCATAAAATTTCATTCACTTCTTAGATTTCTACAGGTTTGCGAGGCAGAGAGAAAGAAAGAGAGGGAGAGAGGAAGGGAAGTAAGCCATTGCCCTGCTCTCAAGTGTACTAACCCTCAACTGGGATTTCAAATGTGTGTTTGTGCGTGGTTGCATGCGCGCATTTGTCTGATGTCTGAGATCAGGGACAAACGCGCACACACCGACACACACAGAAACACACACCACTGACACCAGCGTGCTTACAGTCCTCCACAGCCCTAAAACAACACACTTCTGACACGGGTGTCTGTATGATTACTGTATTTCTACCAGCAGCTGCTAGTCCATTTCCAGACCTGGCCTGGCTCGGCGCTGTTTATCTATAGGATGACGAGCATGCGGCGCAGTGTCACATCCTCTGTGATATGGGTCAAAGTTAGAACTTTTTTTTTTCTTTCCCAACAAGAGAAAGAGAACAAGTCAGAGCGACAGAAAGCTCTGTACTGGAGGAAAGGAGGAAGACGTGTTGGTGTTGGTGGTGGGGAGCAACAGATTCAGATATCAGCTGTCTGTTTTACCCATGAGAAAATCTCAATGAATCATACAACTGCAGAGGACTCATTGATGACAACTCCCTGTTTTCCTTCTTTCTTTCTTTTTGTTTTTTTTTTTTTGTGAGGGGGTGGTGGGGTTAAAACAAATATGAGAACAGAGTCTGGCGAATCCAAATGGCAGCATACTGAAGGCATTTGTGTATCAGCCATAGGTGAGTCTCTCTATATAAGCATATCCCACTCCTTACATTGTCAGTGTTGTTTCTTCATCCAGCCCAGTGACAGGCTGCATACAGCCAGAGTTTGCTCTGACTGTGTGTGTGTGTGTGAGGGAGAGACGCTGTGCTGGGTGATGGCTATAATTCAACATCCTCTCACTGTCAGGCAAACGGGGAGCTGTGTAGGTTTGTGTGTAGGGATGTTACAGCTCCAGTGTTCAGGTGAGGATTTTCTTATGATCAGAAAGCAGGAGAAAGATAGAAGAGAAATCAGTTTGCTCTGTGTTTTGAACTTTGAGTTATTGGACTGCTGTTTTTTAGCTGGCCATTCCTCTCAGACCCCCGTGTGTAAGGCAGCAAGCCCACACACCTTCTGTTATTTCCAGCGCTGGATCAGTCTCACCTCTGTACGGCATGCTGATATAATAGTAAGTCTCAAGCATGATTAGCTGCTGTAATTAAGCTTTCACAAAAAAAAAAAAAAAGGAGAACAAGAAAGAGCAGAGAGCTGACTATCACACAGCTTGAATCTAAGCAATGCAGATGGAGAAGACCTATATCAAAAGTGTATAAAAGCAGCCACACCCTAGTTGCACGCCTCCAGCTTCTTCCATTAAGGTTAGTAAGAATGGAGTGGACACACAGACAGGAGAGGAAAAACTGAAAAAAAGGAGGGGAAAAAAAGGAGTCTTTATCAGTATTGCCTCCCTCACTGCCGCAAAGGAGAGCAACTTTAAATGTGGTATATGTGATCAGACAAGGCAGAGTATAGGGGAATGCATCTTACCGCAAATAAACAAGATATCTGCAGGATTTTCTGCATTTATGATCCATTTCTCACTTTGGCTCGTTTCTTTTAAACAAATCGAGAATACCCCCCCCC